AGTTCATGTAGGGTTGCCAACCTCCAGGTGGTGGCTGGAGACCTAGGATTTGAACTAATCTCCAGGTGACAGATCAGTTCCCCTGGAGAAAATGGCTGCTTTGGTAGATGGACTCTATGGCATTACACCCCATTGAAGCCCCTCCCCAAACCCCACTCTCCTCAGGCTCCCCCCCCCAAAAAAACCTTCAGGTATTTCTCAACCCAGAGCTGGAAACCCTAAATTCATGGCCTCCACAGCAACAGTAATATATCGAGTCCCTGACCAAAATGTGAGAAAATCTGTCCACATTAATATGGAAGTGGTAGGAGAAAGACTGCTGATTATGGACACTCTCCTTAACACAGAGATCCAGCATATTATTCAAGAGGCCCACAGAGAAGAAAAAAGATAGACTTCCAAATATTAGATGGTAATCCTTGTGGTGACCAAAACAGTTCCAGGAATGAAAAGCACCTGGTTTTTAGGGAGAGTCCAAAGAACAGGTATGTATTCCAAGATCAAAGCATTAGAAATAAGGTTCAGTGACAACAAAGTAAAACTAATCCTAATTCCCACATTTTATCAGAGTTGTATGACTTTAGCATGCCTCTCCAAAACACGAGCATTTTGCAACAAGCATTATCATTATCATCCCCAAGAAGTAATACTGAAGAGTGACAATGTAATTATAATGGGACATTGGGGGGGGGGGACAAACAAGAACACAGAATCTAAGAACCTTATATGAACTAAACAACATATTGCATTGGGTTTCTGAACTGAGGTAGTTAGTTCCAAATTCCACTGAATGCAGATGACATAAAAACTGATATTAGTTTGATTTCTTAATAAAAATAATGTGAGATTTACAAGTTTTTCAAAAGACAGAAGAACAGAAAGGAACGTTCTAAAGCCATACATGTTTAGAGCCAGATTTAGCAGCAAGGTCATACTTCAGCCAAATACACCACCTACCAGGCCTGGTCATACATTTGAATTCGGTTTGCAAGTCTTGAAATTCTCATTTTCTCCAATTAGTTACAATGAAGTCATGGCACTTTATAAATGTTTGTTACCAAAATCATCTGCAAAAATAGAATCCCAGATTTCATGCTGCTGGGAAAAGAAAATAGCGTTCCACTTACCTGTTCATTGAGTGGTCTTCTGTGCAGGCACATATGGGACTGCACAGTTGCAGGCCAGTTGCGGGAAGAGCTGCCAAGCTTTTTCTGAGATTTTTCTAGAGCCTAAGAGTTGTCCCCCTCCCCTCTGCTCACAGTGTATCCTTTTTCCCACCCAAAGGATCAGAGGTGGGGCAAACACTCTTCCCTCAGTTCTCGCTTCGCCACCTTGAGGAGGTTGAGACCATAGCATGTCAGCCCACAGCAAGGAAAGGAGGGAGGGATGTGTGCCTGCACAGAAGACCACTTTATGCTTCTGTGCAGTCCCACATGGGAGAATAGCAAGCTCACTTACCAAGGAGGTGGGTGTGGGCAGATTAGCAGAAGATAGGTTGTAGGCCCGCTTTCCCAACAGTTGCCTCATTTTGAGCATCCATATCCATAGAACAGTGACAAACAAATGTGGAAGATGTTGACCAAGTGGCTGCTTTTCAGACCTCGTCGAGGGACAGCTGGGATAGGGAAGCCACTGATGAGGCTTGTGCTGTAGTGGAATGGGCCTTCAGTTTGATGGGGCAAGGCAAACCCCACTTCACTATGTGCCGCTTTGATAGTGGCCACTACCCACTTAGACACTGACTGGGATGCTGCTGCTTTTACCTTATTTTGACCCTTAAAACAAAGAAAAAGCTTCCTATCTATCCTTCTGAAACTCCTCTGTTTGTTTTTATAAAAGGAGTGCCCGCCTGACATCCCATGTGTGTAGTGTTTGTTCAGCAATGGAGGTTGGGGATGGGGGAAAAAACTGGAAAGACTATATCCTGATTTATATGAAACCTACAGACCACTTTGGACAAAAAAATATAGACTGTGCCTTAATACTATCTTGTCTGCATGGAATTTGGTAAAAGGTGGGTCACATCATAATGTACTCAGCTCCCCCGCCCTACGTGCGGAATGACCACTACCAAGAAGGCAGTCTTGTAAGAAAGGAATGACATCAAACTTTGCCATGGGTTTGAAAGGTTTATACATCAACTTAGACAAGATGAGAGATAAACTCAACTGTGGAACAGGGCGAACAGATGGAGGAAAGAAAGTATGCAAACCTTTAAGAAATTTACGGGACTCCAGAGCATAGAACACTGAGAAAGTATCAACACCATTATGCAAAACCAAAATGGCCAGTAAATGAACCTTAACAGAGGAGGGGGCTAAACCTCTATCCTTTAACAATAATAAGTAATCAAAAAATTAGGTAAGGCACAACTGACAGGGTCAACCACCTGATTGACAACCCAGCTAGAGCATTTTCTCCACTTAGCAGCACAGGACTTTCAAGTAGAAGGCCTCCTACAGACCACTGTCACCCTCTGAGGAAAACTAATGAACCATGCTGTCAGGTGCAGAGTCTGGACTTCTGGATGCAGAATGGGACCTATGTGTAGAAGGTTGTGTGCTGGAGGCAGGACCCTATGCACTCCAAAGGGTTGGGAACCACACTCTTTGTGGCCAAAAAGGGGCAAGAAGAATGCAAGTGGTTCTGTCCACCTTTATCTTGGCTATTACACTGAGTAAAATCCCAAAGGGAGAGAACCCATAGAACAGGCAGCTATGCTATCGCAACTGGAAGGCATCCCCAAGTGATTCTCTGTCCACCACTGGAGCAGAAAAGATGGCATTTCTTCTTGTCCCTGAAAGCAAAAAGATCTACTTCTGGGAATTACCATTCCCTGAATATTGGCTGAAGGTAGTGATTGGTTACAGACCATTCCTGGTTCATGTCTATGTCCCTGCTTAGTGTGTCTGCTAGTGTATTGTTCTGGCCTGCAATGTGAATGGCGGTTATCTGCACCCTGTGGTCCATTGGCCCTTGCCAGATTAGAGATGCTTCTCTGCAAAGATGAATGGAGCCTGTGCTCCCCTGCTTGTTAAAATAGAAATGGCCATTGTGTTGTTTGTTGCTAGCAGTTCAAGATCGGACATGAAGGGTGAAGCTGCATCGCTCACTGGAAGATGACAAGTTGTACGCTTTCCCTTGTTCCTTCTCTGATTTTGTGGCTGAAAGGTAAGCCAGGGGAAAGCAGTATAACAACTTGGCTGGTCCCATGAGTCCCACTGTGGTGGGACTATCATGGGGAAGGTGAACCAGGAGGACTTGCTGGGAAGATAGCTGAGGGCATTGTTGTTCTTGACCCCTTGGAGGTTCTGTCTAATGTGGAAGAAGAAGAAGAGAAGAGATTGGATTTATACACCACCCTTCACTACCCAAGGGAATCTCAGAATGGCTTACAATCTCCTTTCCCTTCCCCTCCCCACAACAGACACCCTGTGAGGTAGGTGGGGCTGAGAGAGCTCTGACAGAAACTGCTCTTTTTCAAGGACAGCTCTTATCAGAACTATGGCTTGCCCAAGGTCATCCAGCAGGTGCAAGTGGAGGAGTGGGGAATCAAACCCGGTTCTCCCAGAATAGAGTCCACGCACTTAACCAGTACACCAAACTGGCTCTCAAAAACGTCATCATCAGACACAACCAGTAATCGACACTGTCCCAATGGTGACGTTGTTCTTGGAATCAGAGAGAGACTCACTGCTCAAAGTGGAGAAGGTTGGAGCTCAGGTGATTCCTGTGGGGACGGCACCCTCTGGAGGCATGCCCGGAGGTCAATGTCTGCACAGGGAGATAAGGGAAGTAGTGTGCAAGGTACCAGTAAACATCTGCTGAGATCACCGTGAGAAGAATCTTGGCTATGGTGAGGTGGAGATAAGGAGGCGGGCTGTCTGCAGAGCACATCCTGTTAGTTTAGTTCACTGTATGCTTGTAGCTTTCAATATACGTGGCAGGGGGGGGGGAAAGAGAGGGAAGCTAATAAAACACTGCTGAGCCAGTCCGGGTCAGACAGATTCTGCAGATCCGTGTCTCGTGTCATTCTTGAACCCCAAGCCTACAGATTCCGAGTCTGAATCAGATGGCGTAGATACTCAGCTCTGAGGTGAATCAGTGACTCGAAGTCAAGGGGAAGATTCCACCTTGGCTGGAGGCAATAATGAACTCCAACACCAAGGAGACGGAGTCTTTCAATGCTGAGGTGAGGAAGGCTGGTGTTGAGGCAAAGGCGACTGATGCTCTTGGTGTTTATTCTTCTTTGACTTCTTCGATGGTGGCTTTGAACCAATGCTACAGAGGAGGTGGCTTTGCACTAATGCTGTGGAGGAGGCCCTCAGGGGTTTTTTCAGGCTGCACCCATTTTTCCGCTTGGGGATCTGGGGCACCCAAAACCTTCTCCCACAAGGCAGCCCTTAAGCCTAGCCGCCCTCCAATCTCTTGCTTTCAGTCTCAAATGGCGGCAGGCTGGGCACGTGGCTGTATTGTGCCCTTCACCCATACAAAGGAGACACGGACTATGGTTGTCATTCTGGGCCATTTTGGCCCCACATTCCTCACATTTTTTGGATAAAGCCATTGTGGCCTTCTGTACTCACAAAAGTTAGAACACAGACTATAAAGGCTTGTGCTCTCTTCACAGTGGCAAGGAAAGAACTGAAGAAAGTGTGCTTGCCCTGCCTCCATCACGTGATCCTTTGGGTGGGAAAAACGATACACTGTAAGCAGAGGGGAAAGGGACCACTCTTAGGCTCTAGAAAAATCTTAGAAAAAGCTTGGTAGCTCTTTCCATGGCTGGTCTGCACCTGCACAGTCCCATATGTGCCTGTACAGAAGCCACAATGATGAACATGATAGCCTTCCTTTGATACATGCAGAAAATAATCTCTTTAACAAACAGCCCATTGGAAAACATGGACAGTTGATCACACCTGCTGCAGCAGTTTTTTGCAGTCTGTAAGCTGACAAAGCTGCAAATGAATGACCTTGACCAAACTGGATAAATCACTTACTTTCTGTCAGTAGTTTGCTTGAGTGCTCCACCTCTCAAATTACACAGGCAACATTCCTACAAAGGAAACGAAGGGACATAATCAATCTAAACTGGCAAAGCTATAGCTACATTGCTGATTGTTATATGTACATAAATAATGTCGCAACTGACTGATTTTGGAAAGTCAACGTTTTGAAATACCAAGCACTGCAGAGTTTGGACTGAGGTGTTAAAAAATGACAGCACTACCTGATGAGGTACCAACCAGGTACCTATTTTTAAAAAAGGCTTGAAGTAAAGTATATGCTAGATTTGACTGAAAGCATACTACATGAACCTTAAGCATAACAAGCCCATTGATAGAACTTGTAATTACCACACCTGTATTTATCTGGCACCTCTATATCAGTCCTCTTTACCCAAGGCTTTGTTACCATTTGTAATATTTCCCCATAGTATAGTATTTGGAGGGTATCCTCACTCTAGTTGGTAAAGCAGAAATTCTTTATATTTCTACTAGGCAATAAATACTATTCCAGACTTAGTGGGGCTCACTTCTGAGTAAACGTGCTTAAGGATTGCACTGCACAGCCAGTCGTCAGCAGAGGACAGAAAACTGGATGTGAGCCCATCAGCTCCCAACACTGACAAACATCAGAGCAAAACAATCACTTTCAGAATGGATATTAACATCTGTTTCAACCATATATGAACTTAACTCAAAAGTCCTCCTTATAAAGATTGGTGAGAAGCAGTGGCTAAAAAACCCATTCAAACATTTTATTATGAAAGGTTTCTCTGGTCCAAAATATTTGCGCTGGTATACCTGCTTATAACACTAGCCCTTAGCAGTCATTAGATTCTGGGCACTGTGATCATACATACAGGGCACAGGCACTCAGGTAGGGTTGTAAACCCCCAGGTGGGTCCTGGACATCTCCCGGTATTACAACCAATGATCTTCATATGATTTTATTTGATTCATATCCCGCCCGCCCCACCAAAGTGGGCTCAGTACCACTGGAGCAAATCGCTGCTTTGGCAGGTGTACGTTATGACATTACACCTGCTGAGCTCTCTCCCTTCCCAGGCTCCATCCTCCCCCCAAAAAAATCTCCAGTTGGCAACCTTAACTACAATTGATCCTCCCAATACACATAATCGACATTTCTTCTGAGGCACAACATGTGGATTTTCCACCTTGCTATATGCAAACCAGACATGAGACTAATCTTTCACCTCCATATATGCGTAGCAGTCATCAGTTTAAACACGATTCACGATCACAGTTCTACTCACATACGAGAACCTTCCTGCCTCCCCCCTGGAGTTCAAGGGACACCCAGAAACATACAGGATTAATTAGCAGTTAAGTAGAGCTGGGTGTGGCGTTGCCGTTAAATTAGCAAACACCTGGGGAAACTCAGAATCCTCACTGTCCTGTGGAAGCTCACGGGGTGCTGCTGGTCCCCTCAGAGTCTCTCAGACTAATCTACCTCACATGTTACTTGTTGTGAGAACATAAGAACATAAGAGATGCCAATGTTGGATCAGGCCAAAGGCCCATCCAGTCCAACACTCTGCATCACACAGTGGCCAGGTTAAATGGAGGTGAAGATGATGTGATAAGCTGCTTTGGGTCCCAATTATGGCAAAAGGTGACATAAAAACAAAATTTAAAATATTTAATTTATTCAAAAGATTAAATTAATCTAATTAGAGAATATTTCCCTATGAAGCAAAATATGAAAATAGTTCACCAAATACCTTGTTTCTATATCACTACTGCCTCTTAGCAACTGAAATATACTAATTGTGACATATTCTTCAGAAGAGAAAAGGCTGGGGTTGTATTCACACTTCCTATGACCTCTCTGAAATACGAAGAGCTGTGTAATGAGTTATGATCCTATGACTGAAATTAAGGACATCATTCAGTATTAATCCACATGGTAAACAAGCTGGATATGCTAAGCCCCTCTAGCTTTCTGTGAACTCAGTCATTTTTAATCCTTCCATAATATTTGTTGCTCTTGTATATATTCATTCTCATCTATCTGTGTTGCTATCGTAACAAGGTGCTGTAATCCATAAACGGGTGTATGCTCCAGTGTAGCTATACTAAAGCTCTGTTGAGAAGCATCATTTCTTATCAGTGCAGTATCAGCATAATAATCCACACACTAGTAAAGAAGCAAGCAAACAGTAGAGAAGCTAGTTTCTCAACTAGATGTCTCTTATATTCAGTATTAAAGGTTCATCATTCTTAGGAATAGTTTAGACATTTGAAATCCTGCTACATGTGGAGGAAGTGACATTTGAACTGCTGCACCCACAGTAACAGAAACCACTTCCTGCTATCAACACGTATCATTATAACCTGATTTCTACTCTTGCCACTCCACTAAAATCGCCTTCACTACACTTACTGTGGTCCCGGTCACATGGGCCAGATATCGTGGGGGGGAGGTGTGGCTAATTGCCCCAGCGCAGTTTGATCCGCAATTACGCAATCAGACGCGCCGGCGGCACACCACAGGTCCTTCCCTCCGTGCTGGCGGGTAAACGAGGGACCGGAGGGGAATGCCGCGTGCCAGCGCGATCACACCACGGGCGTCTGGAGGCCGCCCGTGGCAAACGTTTACTATTACCTTGGAGGTACTAGTTTTTTAACGCGCATTGTCGGCGGTAAGCCACGAGTGCGCTCCACTTCCCAGATGTTGGGGTGTGATTGCGCCCGGATTATCCGCCCACCATCCGTGCCTCTCCCACAGCAACTTTGCCGTGTGACCGGGGCCAGTGATGTCCTGACTACCAGCTGTAAAGGCTTTTAACTCTATCTTCACTACCTTTGAGCTCTACCCCTTCAATAGAGCTGTAAAACTTCTCTTTGATTTCCTCCATGGTTTAGTCCTCCAAGACAATGTTTTCAGTTATTTTAACTCTATCTTCACTACCTTTGAGCTCTACCCCTTTCAGTTAGCTGTAAAACTTCTCTTTGATTTCCTCCATGGTTTAGTCCTCCAAGACAATGTTTTCAGTTATTTCTCTTCTCTTCTGTCAATTTTCTCCTGCAAATAGAGAAGTTCCTTCTCTACATTACAGTTACTATTGGGCTATTTCAGGGATCTGTTATTAGTCCACCCCTCTCTCCACATAATGTCCTTGTATGAGCTCATCAAATGAAATAATTCTTAATAACATCTAAACACTTATGGCACACATATACCACCTTTTGCTCTGGTCCTTTCTTCCTCCTGTCCAGTTCTATATCATCATCCACCTCTCTGGTATTTCTACCTGAATATCTCCTTGTTATCTCAAAATCAACATGTCGAAGACTGAACTGCTCATTCTCATTCTTCTTCTCAAACCTTTTCTAGATTACTCCCCACCTCTACTGACAAAGTCCATGCTGTCAAGCAATTACAAAGCCTTGGATTTGTAATTTATTCATACCTCCCCTGCTCCATAACTAGCTTCCTATTTATACACACCACAAACCCCTTTTCTGTGGCCTCATTCCATGTGACTTCACTCATATTACTTATGTTTTTGCTCATAAAGTTCTACCAGTGCCCAAACACACCTACAGGTCTAATCCCTCTACATAAATTTAGATTTCAAACTCCTCAGGACCAAAATTTGTTACTTGTATATCAAGTATACTCATCATACAAGTCACTGAAAACTAGGAATTAATCTCCAACTTTTGTACATTTATAGCATTTGGCATGGAATATGGCTAACTGAAATAATGTTATAACTGAAGTGAAACTTCACATAGACTTTCTGAGAATACTTCAGTACCAGTTGCTACAGTGTTCAGGAGGGTCTGCCTTGGGGCAAATATATGTTGAACTGGCCTTCTCTATGTTCACAGTCTGATTTTTAATTTATGGTTGGTTACTATATTGGCAACCACAGCTGTCTTTTTAAAATGTAAATAAATAAATAATCATCACTGGAGACATAAAATGACCGGTGAATACTTGCAAATTTAAAAATTTATGTGGTTCAGTTGTGCTTGACTGCCTTTCATATTCTTTTGCTACTGACAATTAAGCTCCCAAGTTTTCTTCACAATGTCATGGCTGACAGTCAAGTAATCAGAACAAAACCAAGATCCAACTATACTGCTCAATAATCAGGCCATGCATTGTGAATGTCACTTATTCTTTTATTTTCCCCTTGTTCTCCCTGAGACCAGCGGCTTGCCTAAGTGAAACTGAATTAGGCAGCTGAGGTGTTACTATGCAATTAATATCAAAAGTAAGAGCAAGCTAACGATATGGGATTTAATATAATGACAGTGCAATCCTGAAGGGGCCCCCGAAAGCACTCTGGGAGCCAACTTACCCCTACATCGACGTAAGTCTCAGTTACATCAGGATAAGTTCAGTTACGTTGGTGTAACTGGCATTTATAACAGCGCAGAGCCACTGCAGCACCCTGTTACTCATGGGTGCTGACGGCGGGGCATGGTGGCCAATCTTTGGTACAACTGAGGCATAGGCCCCTGCAGCGGAATTGCCATGGACACAGCCTCGCAAGCAGCCTGCTACACTTTTCCCCTCTCCGATGCAGCGTAACCTGGCCATTAGGGAGCTGACTAGTAGTGCCAACGTTGCAAGGTGGCTGGCTGCTGCAACGCAGGCCCAGCTCAGGATTTCTCTGTCAACTGTAAGCACAGGGTAGATGAGATAAGTATTTAACTTTAAGTTTAAGGAAGATATTTATCATTAGATAAAGCAAGGAAAGGGGAATTCCCGAATTGATTGCCAAAGAAAGTAACACTAGAGTTTTCTTGGGTACCTATATCCATCTGATATGAGGCACAGGGTTCATCGTTTTTGTTCAGTGTGCCATCTATTGTTTCATTAGTTTTATTGTTTTATATTTTATATTGTAAGCTGCCCTGAGCCCACTTGTGGGATAGGGCAAGGTATAAACAAACAAACAAACACATTAAATTTTTGAATGAGTCTATATTAGACCAAGCCTCTAGTTCTAAGGAACAAGGCTGCATAAACCTTACTCAATATGCATGTTCTAGGTCAGACAACTTGTCTTGC